CTCTCTCTCTCTCTCCCTTCACCTTGTGCGGAATCTACTCTCTCTCTCTCTCTCTCTCTCTCTCTCCCCGTCTCTCTCTCACACACACCCGCTACCCCCCTTTTCATGATGCCTTGACCTTGTGCGCAATTACCTACTGACCGTATCCAGCCCACGTTGCCGAATGGCTCACACACATGTCACTGTCCAGAGACAGGTCATGAAGTCAAATCCTGATGGGATCAGATGGATGCAATAAGGTTTGGGGGTACCACTTTTGGTCAATAGGAGTTCTATAGGACTATCTTTTGATATTACAACGGAATTCATCCAGCTCTGGCTGTAATCGCGGTCAGATACGTCCAGAGAAGAAGTCCTACAGTAGTGCGAGTACAACACACCCTGAATCTCTTGTCCAATCCCATAACTATAATAATCGTCTACCTCGTTCAACCGCCTTTTTTTTTTGAAAGAACTACACACTACTCCTCTACCTCCCCTGATGACTAACTGATACCCAGTGTTCTTTCTGTATTATACACCTAATAGCTTATTATACCTTATTATACACCTTATATTAGGTGTATAATACAGTCAGAACACCTTATTATACACCTAATAACACTGCAGAAACTGACTCACAAGATTTGCACTCCTGAACCGTCGTTGATCCCCACCCAGGTCAAGAGCTCAAACCTGTTAAGATGTCTAAATATGTAATGATTTCTGTGCAAAAGTAACCTTTTTTTTTTTTTTTTTTCTTAAGATTAAACAGTCAGTAAAGAAACTCCTTTAGATATTTGATTCTCCCTCGTTTTTATCAAATTTTCTCGAATTTTATTTACTTAAGAACAGGTTTGAGCTCTTGACCTGGGTGGGGATCAACGACGGTTCAGGAGTGCAAATCTTGTCAGGGAGGCACAGGAGAGTTCTTAACAGGCTTGAGCTCTTGACCCAGTGTAGTTCTTTCAAAAAAAAGGGTTAAGAGTGTCGGTACACACCCTGTATAATACATTAACTTGTGCACAGAAATCATTACATATTTAGAGATCTTAACAGGTACACACCCTGTATAATACATTAACTTGTGCACAGAAATCATTACATATTTATTATTTAGAGATCTTAACAGGTCTGAGCTCTTGACCTGGGTGGGGATCAACGACGGTTCAGGAGTGCAAATCTTGTGAGTCAGTTTCTGCAGTGTTATTAGGTGTATAATACATTAAGAACACCGGGTATCAGTTAGTCATCAGGGGAGGTACAGGAGTAGTGTGTAGTTCTTTATAAAAAAAAAGGCCGTTGAACGAGGTAGCCGCTTATTATAATTTATGGGATTGGACAAGAGATTCAGGGTGTGTTGTACTCACACTACTGTAGGACTTCTTCTCTAGACGTATCTGACAGCCAGAGCTGGATGAATCTGACGGGAATTACGTCCACAGCTCAATTTTTTGAAACAGCACAGTTGTGAATGTGCATTGTGAACGACAAGATTTGAAGTCTTGACCTTCATTCTGTCCTAACTGTGCACCCACTTGACAGCCATCAGGGAGGTTACACGTCCGAATGAAGTGCTATCGGTCTCTAGGATTTTATTAATTTACTTGTTTATTTATTTATATTTGTTTTTGTGGTGCGAGGGATCACGGATCAGATATTAAAACTGATCAGAACTTTGGGGGGGGGGGGGGAACTGATCAGAACAGATACAGTGCACTTTATCTAGTTTTAGCAAAAAGGGCCGAGAAAGGTAGGAATTTGAATGTTCTCCAACCCCCCCCCCCCCCCCCCCCCCCCCCCCCCAGCAAAAAAAAGGAGTGTTCTCAGCTTCTCAATGGGGATGTCATCATCTCCACAAGAGTTCAAATCCTAGAAACCAAGGGCCTTTTTTTTTTTTTAACGGCCAACTTTTGTAGTGTTGTCATGAAATAAAGGTGAGTGTTGCCTTCTGTCAGGGAGGTAGCGCTGATTGAGATTTTTTTTTTGCAGTGCTTGCTGATGTCACCGGGCCAGATTGTGAGCGCGGATTGAGATTTTTTTTTTTTTTTTTTTTTTTGCAGTGCTTGCTGACGTCAGCAGGCTAGATTGTGATAGGATTGACCTGCAGCGAGAAAAAAAGCTTCAGATAAGGGAAAGATGATTCAAAGATCAGATCACAATTGGCAAGCTTATCCTTTTTTTTTTTTTCTGTTTTCTTTTTGGGAACAACGCTGCAGCATTGCCAAGCTTTTTAAAATTCATATAATAATTTTTTAGAACCTTATTATATTATAGGATAAGGGAGGGAAAAAGATCAGAACAGTACTGCAGCAAAATTTCCAAGCTTTTTAAATTTGATTTTATAATTTAAAACTGAACGCGCAGGATAACGGAGGGGAAACGATAAGAACAGCATTGGCATGCTTGTTAAATGGATATAAGAAACTCAGTGAGTCAGTGTAACTCACTTTTTTGGATTAGGGTTAAAAGACAAGTCAAGATCAGCATTCCAAGCTCTCTCTCTCTCTCTCTCTCTCTCTCTCTCTCTCTCTCTCTCTCTCTCTCTCTCTCTCTCTCTCTCTTTTTATTTTTATTTTTGGGAGGGGGGGAAATAGAACCTTATGGTCGTGGCTCCGTATCTATTCTGGGAAGAGCATTCTGAGCTTTTTAAATCGATCACAGACTTACTTATATAGTGTAAGGCAAGAATATAAGAACAGAATTGTCTCTCGTCTAGAACGAAGACGAAGACGATCTGTGTGTTACGTCAAAGAAAGCTATCGTCGTTTCGGATTTCAGTGTATGTATGTAGAGATGAGAATGCATCTACCGTTTCCCCCTGAACACAACGCAAGGACTGCCGAGACAATCCCCACTTCGCCTCCACGCTCCGGGATGGAGGTTTCCACTCATCATCCGGGTCCTAAAATAATTCAACACTATTGCTACCTTCTTCACCTGAATAGAACGCCCGGTCATCATTATAACGGCATTTGGCACAACTTCCAGTCCAGATGCTTAGATATTGCCTGGGCGTTTTATTCAGGCGAAGACCGTAGCAGCCTTGCAGTGCGTAGCTGCAGGAAAGACACAGTGTGGGGGGAGGAGGGGGGGCACGGTCTCATGAGCTCGGAAGCGAAATGGGCTGTGCCCGGTGTGGTGTAATCCTTGACGGTCATTTCTTTAGTTCAGACACGTATAGGAATGAAGACGTGATTGCGGTCATATACGTGCTACAGGAAGTGAATTGTCTTGCGAGCTGGGGAATGTGCTTGGTAGCACGGAATTGGCAGCAGCAACAGTTTGCCAGAATCGCCACAGAATGAGGACTTCGCTGAATGTATCTGACCGAAAGTAGGGCTTGATTCTTGATTGTGTGGAGAAAATCCTGATGAGAGTGTGACGGTAGCCAGCAGAAAACGCGGACTCGCACAAGGACCTTGCTGGATGTATCTGGCCACAATTGCGGCTGGACAGGTTGGTGGTCAATTGCAGGGTAGGTATCACCCCATTCCACCATGTTTGTCTGTGTGACATGCGTCATATGTGACAAGGGTAGGTATCACCTGTGTGACAAGGGTAGGTATCACCTGTGTGACAAAGGATGAGTATCACCTGGGTGACATGTGACAGTATTACACCATGTTTGTGTGTGACATGCATCATATGTGACAAGGTAGGTATCACCTGTGTGACAAAGGTAGGTATCACTTGTGCGACAAGGGGGTAGGTATCACCTGTGTGACAAGAGTAGGTATCACCTATGTGACAAGGGTAGGTATCACCTGTGTGACAGGGGTAGGTATCACCTGTGTGACAAGGGTAGGTATCCCCTGTGTGACAAAGGGTAGATCTAAACAGTGTGACAAGGGTAGGTGTCACTTTTGTGGCATGTGTGACAGAACTGTTGTTTAGGAATATGTGGGACGTACGTGTTGAACTACTTCACATGGAGACTTCTTTTTTTTTTTTTTTTTTTTTTTTTTTTTGAATTCACTTTATATTCCAAAAAATTCACTTCAGGAGGCCGGGGACCTCACAATTCAACCCGGAGTTATCCCGGCAGCATCAGCCGGTTTCGCTTATGGACAATCTTTCAATCATGACTCAGACATCAAGAAATTCTGCTTCTACCTTAATTCCTAGCTCAACCACCGTTGTCTGCCCCAGTAGACTAACTATACCTAAACCTACTCTAGACTCCCCGTGTTCCACTAACACCCCTCCCTACTATTACACAGGCCTACCAACCGGCCTGACCTCGGCCCAATAACAGCCGGGAGGAACATCTTTGTTCCCTTATCCAAGAGTGGCACTCTCCTCCCTTCCCTACCCCGTGCCGCCTACTGTGGCCGCCAACCGGAACCGAGTGCCCCGGTTCATAAAAAAAAAACATTCACATGACCGAAACTCCACACAATTCCAAAAGGTAACTGGGAACCTACTCCTAGCTAAACAAGAACTTGCTCACCCAAGCCACTTTGTGATCTCCAGCCTACCCTGTGGAGAGATCTTGGCCAGCCGACCTTCCAATGCCCAGGTTTCCCTGAACCATTTCAATCCTGTCTGCCTGTCCCCTCGCTGAACTCTACGGACCCAATCGGCTCTGATTTGGGACCCCACCAGGCTTCTGAAAAGTCTCTCTGCCTGTATCTCCTGAATCGGTTTCTCCTGAAAGCGCCTTCCATTCCTATCCAGCCAAATGGTCCATAGCATTGCCAACCGAGCCACCTGTGCAATGTACTCCCATCCTTTCCTACCTGTCACGTCAGGGGGCAGAGCTCCCTGCAGGACCCATCTCTTTCCAGTCAGATGATTTTTGCCAGAAAAGGCCACCCAATGTCTCTCCCACCACCTCCACAATTTTTCTGATAACTCACATTCCCACCACAGATGTTGCATTGACTCTGTGGCGTTTAAGCATCTGTCACATTGAGTGTTTACCTCTATCTGACGATCCTGGAGCCATTTGGCCGTGGGGACAGCCAGATGAGATTGGAGCCAAGCCAAGGAGGCCAACTTCTGAGACGGAACCACCTTCAGTTGTGACCACAACGTGGAGAGCTCCTTATCTGAAGGAGGCTGTACCTCCGGACATTGCCGCTGCCACCTGTCTGCAATGATCTCGCTGGCATGTGGAAGCTTGCTGCGAATTGCGAGGACCAGAGTGGAAGATAAGTTACTCAAACCCCAGATAGGTTCGTTGTCTACTTGCCAGCCCCATGTGTCCGGGTCTATCTTCATCTCCCGTAATGAGACTGCCTCAGCCACGACCACAAGCACGTCCGGTTCTCCCAGGGACCTTGGTGGAAGACGACGTACCCTAATCTCCTCCAGTCCATTCAGACCATATCTCCAACTGATCCCTGAGAGAACTATCTCCGGAAGATTCGGCAGCAATGACCTGTACTCTTCCAACCAGCATTTGCCCGATCCATCATCAAACCATTCCTGTAACCTGTAGAAAATCGTGGCCCCACATTGCTTTTCTGCGTACCACGAGTCGACCGGGTTAACCCCCTCTGGACCCATGAGTGTTACCCAGTCGACTGGGATACTGTTCCTGAGTTCCAGCAATCTGGCTTCCAGATATGGCAGTTGGCCCAATTTTTCCTTGAGCTGGTCGTCTGACACCCAGGAGTTAGTTAGTCAGATCATCCCACAGGTCCGCCACCGTGGCCACCCCCCATTGGATCCATCTCATTCCGTAGTTCCCTGTCTTGGCGTCTGCTGAGATGGGAAGGTCATCCCTGCCTCTGATGTACGGATTATCAAAAAGATGTTGTCTTTTGACTTCCGCTTTTGTTATTGGAGGTTTACTCAACGAGGGTTTCACCTTCTTCCAGGGAGAGATAACATCTCTCCAAAAAATCAACTTTATGCGCTTGTTGATAAAGCAGTCATGAAAAATAGCCACCCATACGTCCGATACCCTGCTGAGTCCCCATTCCTCCGCCAACAGCATCTCAGCCATAGCCACCCAATCACCCTTCTCCCCTTTCTCGGCAACCTTCCCCACCCATTTACTCAGCTGAGCTAAGTTCTGGGTTTCCGGGTCCAACAGCCCTAGTCCCCCTTCCTCCCGAGGTCTACAGACCACTTCCCATGCCACCTTGGGCAGATATCCTTGGTTATCTTGGCTGTCGGGTTTCCACAAGAAACGAGGAGAAACATCCTTGATTGCCTTCAACAGCGTACTCGAGAGTTTCCTGACGGTCCCTACATATCCTAGCAGGGCAAACGCAGATGTTTTCAGAGCCAGAGCTCTACCCATTAAGAGACTTCTTTTTTGGGGGGGGCGGAGGCCCTTTTTTTTTTTTTTTTTTTTTTTTTTTTTTTTTTGGGTTGACATTGGTTGTTTTTTTTGGTTTTTTTAAAACTCTTTTCTGAGATTACCGGAGGAGAACGTTCTCTGGCGGTATAATCTGCGATGAGCAAGCTTTTGTGGGGTAGCGATGATTTTTTTTTTTGTAGTGATGTTTTTTTTTTTTTAGAGTGTAATTACTAATTTGTAATTAGTAATTAGTGAGCAACGTGACTCTTTTTTTTTTCTCCCGTGTGTGAGAAGGGGTATTTTATCCAACAGCATTCTCTTTTTTTTTTTTTAAATAAGGGGCTAGTCCCCACCTAATGCTACTGTATTCATTTGATTTCATCACGATTTTAGCTCATAATAATCTGTTTATCCGACTATATCTTCAGTTACATGTGTGTGCAATTCTCAGCTGCATAGGCCCCGGGTATTCAGGATTTGAACTCTTGTTTTTGTCTGTTTATCAGCAGGTACATTTGTGTACCTTACAGTGATCAGGACCATGTACACAGAGGTCATACATACTCACACTAGGACTTTTTGGACTGAGCTCTGGACGTGATTGTGGTCAGATGCATCCAGGTGTGGCCGTCTGTCTCTTATACACATCTAGATGTGTATAAGAGACAGACCTTACAGTGATCAGGACCATGTACACAGAGGTCATACATACTCACACTAGGACTTTTTGGACTGAGCTCTGGACGTGATTGTGGTCAGATGCATCCAGGTGTGGCCGTAATTGCAGTCAGATACGTTGGGGAAAGTGCTCATGTGAGTATCCCCTGAGCTTCATGGTTTAGGAGGAGGCAGATTGGAGAGATCATCAACATGAAGGCCTCCCCTTGGGGCATGTTTGCGTCGTCAGGCACAGGCACCACCTTTCTTCGTCTCACGACCGTCTGCCCAATGTGTAAATTATTGACTGCATGTTTACGCCGTCCAAGCGCCTTGCACTCCTTCAGCTGCAGAACACGGGGGTTGGCGGGAATTGCAAGAGAGAAGGGTTTGTTTTTTTCTGTTTGGCGCGGCAATGGTAATAGGGCGGCACCTGTTGTTGCCGGCCCGGCTTTGCAGAGTAGGAAAGGGGGTCTCGCGAGATCTGGACTCGGTAGACACGTGGTCGCAATCGGAGAAGCATTGCGATGTTGTGTCAGCGAATCGAACACTTTAGAAAGATGGCTTCCCATGTTGCCAACCCAAGGTGTGCGCCATTCGGGCTTAGCGAAGGGCCGATCTCGTGCACGGCCACGAGATTGCCGAATAGGAACGTGCTATGGACTACCGGTAGGAACGTTGTCGGCGAGAAGACAAGAACCACCGGTAGTTGGAGGGCCACGGGAGCGTCGCATTCAGTTTGGCACATGGGCTGGTGTGCGAGGCATTCCTGTGCGCTGGCAGGGCCAATCCGTGTTACTCGGAACGGATTTGTTAGTAGACGGAGGAGCACATTCTGGACCATCTCGTGGTCCAAGCCGTGGTCTTTTCGATCGAGTCGAGATCCGAACCGATGCGGCCAAAGGAGATGGACCTGGGTCCTGTGTGAGCACTTCGGCGATGGCAGGGGGAGCAACAGCAGGAATCTTGGCTGCGCCTGGAAGCGATCAGGATCAAGAGGTGCGGCTTGACGAAGATGGCGCCGCCACCATTCATGCAACGGTCACGATCGAGGAAGCGGTACAACGTCTACGGCTGGACGCCTTTCTGGCTGGGAAGGTTCACCGACTGAGCCGCTCAAAGATCCAAGAGAGCATCAAGGAAGGCTATGTTTACGTGAATGGCAAAGCGCAGAGAAAGCCGTCCTACATCGTTAGAGCAGGGGAGGACGTAATTGTCAAAGACAGATCTCCGCCCCCGATCGAGGCCATCCCACAAGATATACCGCTCTCGATCGTGTACGAGGATTCCCACTTGCTCGTGGTTAATAAACCGGCGCATATGGTAACCCATCCCGCAGCCGGTCACTGGCAAGGCACTCTGGTGAACGCTCTCCTCCATCACTGCCGTCTTCCCGCGGCAGTGCCTCGCATGTCGGAAACCACCACTCCCTGGGGCTTGATGATGTCGAGGACGGATGATGACGATGACGACGGTGAGGATGATGATGATGGTGAGAGTAAACAGGTTGTCTCTCTGAATGTTCATGAAGGCGGCTCCGAGGAATCCCCAGAGGATGACGAGGATGAGCAGGAGGACAAGGGGGATGATGATGATGAGGAGGAGGAGGAGGGGGATGAGAATGAGAGCAAAGAGGCAGAGGGTAGGCGAGTACACCATCGCACGGAAAGTGGTTCTTACCCGCTCCTTGTTGTTGGCGAAGGGTCGGGACTGACGGCGTGGCCAGAGAATGCCATGGTACGACCGGGCATCGTGCATCGGCTTGACAAAGGTACAACAGGTCTTCTCGTGGTTGCAAAAGATGATTTCACGATGATGAAGCTGAGCGAGCAGTTCAAGACGCGCACCGTACGGCGATCATACATGTCAATCGTTTGCGGCGTGCCATCCCCGGAGTTGGGCAGGGTGGAGGCTGCGATCGGGCGAGACGCTCGGGACAGGAAACGCATGGCTGTTGTGGGCGGCGGGTGTTTCGGGGAGGAGAGTACTCCTAGGCGACGGGGTGGGCGGTATGCTGCCAGCCTATACAAGGTTTCGGAGGTCCTGCTTCATGGAGGCGCGTCGTTAGTCGAGTGGAGACTGGAAACGGGTCGGACTCATCAGATTAGAGTCCATACCAAACATATTGGGCACCCTATCCTCGGCGACGAGACCTATGGGGGTACCAATAAGGCTGCGTACTCGAGCATCCTTAGAGGGGTTGTGTCTTCCCGACATGGGGTAGCCAAGCAGCTCCTCAGTAAACTGGAAAGACCAATGCTTCATGCCCAAACTCTAGGTTTTATTCATCCTCACACAAGACAGGAGTTATATTTCAAATCGGAGCTGCCTGATGATTTTGTCAAGTGCCTACAGGCTTTACGCGAGCTTTCCTCATAGCTCTTATCGTAGGGCATGTTCACACTTGGGACTTTCTCGGACGTATCTGGGTGTGAAGAAGTCCAGATTCGGTTGAAGAAGTTGTACTGCGAATATGTCCTTAGCAGTGAGATTTCGCCAAGTGCCGACAAGGTTTACGTGAGGTTTCCCCATAGCTCTTATCATAGGGTACGCTCACACACAGGACTTTACCGCACACGGATCTGGGTGTGAAGAAGTCCAGATTCGGTTGAAGAAGTCCTACTGTGAATATGTCCTTAGCAGTGTGATCTGCTGCCACGTCATTTGATCAATTCCTTTTTTTTTTTCTTTTTTTTTCACCATTTGTTCAGTTTCGTGGGCTTATAGATCCCTGTCGTCGGGTCTTCTCCTGTTGTCACTTTTTTTTTTTTTTTTTTTTTTTTTTTTTTTTTTTTTTTTTCTGTTGTCACTTTTAGTTTACCATTCCACTCCTTTGCCGGTTGGGCCACTTTGTGGCTGTTATGCTCCTTTTTTTTTTCTTTTTCTTTTTGGCCTTCGCTATCAGCCATTAAGTTTTCCGTCCTTTTTCTTCCTTTTTGTGATGCACCCTTTTTTATTTTCATTCTGATGTAATAGCATCATTGAACAAGGGGTCGGCAGATGGTCTCTTCAAGGCAGGGATGGGGGGGAGGAGGGCGGGGGGGGGGGGGAAGGGCCGTGCCTTGAGCAAAAGAGTAATTCCACAGCTGACCTGCGCCTGGTTTAGGGACTAATCTTGTGGTGTCTGCACCAAGTTAGAATGAACCTGGTCAGAATGGTGACCACGTTCGTTGTAACTTAGTAGAGAGCAGGAATGGCAGCAGTTTTGCCTAGGCCTTGGAAATGACTCTCTACCTGAAAGGTAAGGTAGCAAAATCTAGATCTCGTCGATTTTGGGAGGCTACGTGTCCAGGTACAGATCTTGCAGGTACGTAATAAAGAGATGCCTTTTTTTTTTCTTTTTTCTTTTTTTAAATCCCCTCGATGATAATTGCTGTGGTGCCACTCTCAGAATGTTGCCTTATCCAGCGGCCTAGCTCAGTTGGTAAGGCATGCAAGTGGCATTCGGGAGGTCTTGGGTTCAATCCCCATTGGCCTCATGTACCTTCCTGGGCATGCTTGGCGCCTGCCACCTAGAGATAGCCCGTCGGCCCCCCCAATTGGCATTAAAAAGCAGTCTCTGCTGATGTTCATAGGGGGAGGGGTACTCAGGGAGGCACAGCGACTGGCCACTCAGATGATGCTGGGTCCCTCTGCTACCGGCTGTTCCCTGGCCGGGCGTCATGAAAATCTTCCTAGAAAAAAAGACCTTTTTTTTTTTCTTTTTTTTGTAATACAATGCCGGGAAGTGGCCCCGGCGTCCCTCACAAAGGTGGCAGCCCTGGGGGCCAAGTCCCACTAGCAGCGTTGAGCTACCTCACGCCTGAAGAAATGGTGTCGAGTTTCCTGAACTGCACGTCTCCACAAACACGTCCACATTCAGGCATTGAGGAATTTAAACTCAACGCTGCTAGTGGGACTTGGCCCAGGCCTGCTCCCGGCAACTCCGGCCGGGCTCCCAGCACGTGCTGCTCCCCACGAATAGACTGGAGCACTTGTTCAAAAAAAAAAAAAGGCTTGCTAAAGTTGAACGACGGAGATCAATTGTCTCGGAAACAGCATGCATCTGAATTGGACCATCCAAAGTTTCTCGTAACTGCTATCCTTTTTTTCTTTCTTTTGTTCGGCGAAACTTGGGCGGAGGATATCCTTCACGTCTACCAAATGACAAAGACGAAAGGGAAAACAATTTTTTTTTTTTTGATTTTTTTGTGTTTTATTTTATCGTTATCGACGTTATGTAACTGCTGGTACACCATTTATTTATTCATTGCCGAAGTTTAGATCGAATTCATAAATCATTTCAACAAAAGACTGCCAAGCATTGGGTACCAAATAAACAACCTCCATTTATGGCGATGAAATAAAAATAAAAGTCAAGCTGAACTACTTGTTAAAAAACAAGAGAGTAAAGCGAACACAAGGGTAAAATGAAATAAGCTAGGGGTCGTGGACGAAATGAAATAAGCTTAGGGGTTGCGGACAAAATGAAATCAGCTAGGGGGTGTGGACGAAGCCACAGGTCCTGTACAGCATAGGCCACCTACGGCCGACATCCTATCCTTCGCTTCTTCTTGAACAAAACAAGGAAATAAATGAGAAGAGTGAAAATGAAAGTAAACCCAACTAACAAGCGGGAACGACATGAGGATCCTCAGCTTCCTACCTTCTTCCCCAGAATACAGCGTACGGTCATTATAGTTGTAAGTAAATACAGGTATAATAACCGTACATTGGATTCGGGGGAAGAAGGTAGGTAGCCTACAATTAACATCCTAGGGTAGATAGGACCAGGGTAAGAGCAAATGAAGAGCAGAATTAAAAAAAACATGAGCAATCCAAACAAAGTGAAAACGGAAGCGACTACGACTCTCTTACACAGAGAGAGGATCCTGGAAAAATACAATCTTTCATTTTTACGCAGGAACTGCACTTAGAGAGACAGCAGGGGAAAAGACCAACAAGAAAATAAAGAATCACACAAGGAAAGATGAAAACAAGAAAAGAAAAGTCAGTCCTTCGGGACATCCGGTAAAATTGGAACGATACAGAGAAGGGTAGATTAGCGAATGGCCCCTGCGCTTTCAAGGATGACACGCGTAAATCGAGAAATGGTCCAAATAACAATTAAAAGAAAAAAAAAAAAAGACTAAAAAAAGTTCGACTCTGGTACTCTCTCCTGTCGTTCGGAGACTCTGAACAAATTTGGAAACTGCATCCGCACAAATTTTGGATCGTAGCTTGTTAAACCGCCAGTACTTCACAAATTTTAAATCGTAGCTTGTTAAACCCATTTAGAAGAGTTTGGAGGAATCGGGACCGAACTCCCACGCCGTCACTCCCAGAAAAGTCAGGACTAGTCGCAGTGGCGGAACAAAAAAAAATGTGTTGCAAGTCTTCAATTCTTGTACCCTCGCACGAAACACACAATGACGATGCTTTAGTCGTTCTCGTGGCGCACCAAATGGCTGTCGGGACAACTACATGCACGATCTACCACAAAAACTCACGTGTTCGACAAATCAATAGCGTCCAAAATCATGGCAGTGCTGACACCAACCACGCCGCCATGTCTTGCACCCAGCCCGAAACAATCCACCGGCTAGCCAGCTGCCATCCCACATCTATACACGGGACGAGTAAGTTTGTACCCTAATCTTGTCGAATATTGGTAAAGACAGAGCTTTTTCCCTGGAATTATTGGGTGCTCCCATGCCCAGTCCCTTGGATCCACTGGAAGTGCATGGGCTGGAAGTGAAAGCCTCTACAACAAGGGAAAGGGGGGGAAACAAGGTGCACACCACACACGAAGCAGATGCACACAGTCACTCGAAGTAGAGTAGACAACACCGAAAACCCGTTATGCGGGATGTCAAGCTGGAAGTATTAACGTCATAGACATCGCATCCCACCAGCCCTCCTTCATACCATCAACCTCAAGAAACCATCGATCGTTCCGAGAATAATGTGGCGGTGGTTGTCGGCAACTAACGAGAGATGGTTAACAGGGGGGTCAAATCTTTGTCGTTTTCGTCGGCGATTTCGGTACGAAATTCATCGAATTTTCCAAAAACAAACGATATGAGCCCATAGCGCAAACATCAAAAAAAAAAATACAAATGAAGCATCCAATGAAGTCTAGATGGCAGAGTGTTTAATAGACAGTTCAGCCTCTTGGCTACTTTTCGTCCAGCCGGAGCACTTGGTTCGTTGAATGTAGGGTAAACGAGTCTCAATCTTTCTAAATCCTTTTTTGGGGGAACTGCGTATCTGTTCCCAATTGTACCTTTGGCCACCCATTTGCCTACACGTTGTAGCCCAAGTGTGCGAGAATCTAATTTACCCAAATCCATAACATCGCATTCATATTCCATCTGCACCACGTAGCGACCACTACGCACAAACAAATCATGCATAGCTTCGTGGTATAATCGAGGGCAGAGGACAATAGTTTCCCCCGGGTTTCGATCCGTTGGCGCCAAGACCAAACATCCACACATAATCTTAATTGCATGTACTTCCTCACTAGACATTTCCCCGTGACGATTCTTCGTACCATTCATACAACTCAAAACTTCATCAAGACCGAAATCCAAAGTATCACAATCGCTCATTTGCGAAGTGGCACAATATGCCAACAACTCCACTCGTAATAGATATTTTCTGCCTGTTTTTGAAGCCCTTGGCACATTGCATACGTTATATACAAACGACGAAACACGGATGTCTTCCCAATTCTTACATCTGACGTGTCCTTTGTACCTCGGAAGTGGAAAGCCTGCACAAGTACATGCTGAAACCTCCCGACGTGCGAAACGCCGGTGGTTATGCAGCATATCAGCAATTGATGGATTCTTTGTCTGCACAGTTATGACTTTAAGTTATCGCTTTCAGGGACCACTAAAGGAATATGAAGATCATTTATCTTACCATCTTAAAGTCGATGAACACCTCCCAGGCTGATTTGATCATCACACTAAAGTCTGGCAATAAGTTTCTTCCGCACATCAAACCCATAGTCATTCCTAATAGTCGTATTTACAATTAGTTTTAGCAGTGAACATGTAAGTTGCCTATTAAAATCTTTGATGATTGGATGGAGACCAATGAGAAAGTACAAATCACAGTTATGGGCAATTGTTTTCTTATTCTTATACTTCAACAAAGAGATTATATATCTTTAACCATTATTGTTGATTCTCCCCCACTTACGGAAGTTGATGATCTGTAGGTTGACCTCCTAATGAGAGTGAGTCGGCGCAGCGCGACCGGGAGCAGCACGCCGCTTCGCTAGCGACATGGGCCGGTTCGTGAGTTGGTGGCGCTTTATCGGTGCGGCTCCCTGCGAGGAATATCGAGGAGTTGATGTGGGCAATGCGAATTACGACGGTAGGCGATGACGCGATGTTCCGTTGGTTTGTCGAGCGCGGCCATTAACGAGATGCTTTGGCTGAGGATTCTTCCAGCCTCGATAACCTAGGATGAAGAGGTCTCTTGCTCCATGCTTCGTTTATGTGGTGTCGCGGCTTGACACGCTAGAGGAAGGGGAGGCTATCGGGGTGATTAAGATAGTCTTCATGAAATCTTTGGCACAGTAGTGGCCTTGCTCCTGCACGAATCTAGTGGAGATTGGTTGGGTAGAGCGGGCAAAAAGTGAGGAATATCCTCTCATGCAGAATGGGAGGAGGAAG